AGAATCGAGAAACCAAATGCCCTTTCCTTCAGCTTTACTGACTTCTGTGTGCGCCATCAAGAGTAGTTCTTCCTCCTCGTCAAATTCAGCATAGTTGACGACTCCCTTTTCTGAGCTTGAGCATTCAAATTGATAATGTCCTTGCTTTCCACATCGAAAGCATTTAATGGCTGACCTGTTGACAAAAGGCCTAGCTCTTCCCCGTCCTCTAAGGTGACTTCTTCCTCTCTGAAATGTCCCTCTGCCTCTTCCTTGTGCATTCCTTGGCTCATTCTCCACCTGTGGAACTTGCTCTTCACTCCTCTTCTCAATCACCTTTTGTTCATGTACAAGCAAAGATGCTTGTAATTGATCTACTGTGAGTTTGTCAATGTCTTTGGATTCCTCAATTGAGCATACTACGAAGTTGAATTTTTCTGTGAGACTCCGAAGTATTTTCTCAACGATTTTGACATCGGGCATATCTTCTCCGCAATTCCTCATGTCATTACCAGTAGACATAACTCTTACAAAATACTCAGACACACCTTCTCCTGACTTCATTTCTAGAGTTTCAAATGTTCTGCGAAGTCGTTGCAGCTGAGCCCGCTTCACTCTAGCACTTCCCTGATACTTGACTTTCATTGAATCCCACAATTGCTTGGCAGTCTCCTTCTGAGTGATGGTTTTCAAGATACTCTTATCTATGGATTGAAAGAGATAATTCTTTGCTTTGAGATCCTTAAGTCTTGCTTCGTCGATTGCCTTTTGTTGGCCTGTGTCTACGACTTCGTTTCCCTTTGGTTCTTCGAAACCAGATTGAATAACGCTCCAATATTCCTTAGAACGCAGGAGATTTTCCATAATCAAACTCTAGTGATCGTAGTCTCCGTCAAATTTTGGAACACATGGTGTTGTGAAGCTTCCTGAATCAGTTGCCATTTCCTGTTTTCGTGTTTTTCCTCTCAAACACTCAAATTGTATGTTTCTTTTATCAGGTCCTTGCTCGCTCTGATACCAAATAAAGGAAACTGATAATCCTTATTCTTTCAAGTAGAAAAATAACTGAGGCTTTTATAAAGCCTTACAAACAGAAAAATCAAAGTACAAGGAAAACATATCTAAACAAAATTGAACAAATCAACTCCTACAAATTAGCTTACTTAACAGTTTAAATAACAACTCCTACCTATTATTTAGCTATCACGTTGCAGACCAAGTCAATAGCTCCAACAAACCTTTCTTGAATCTTATCTTATCATGGCACAAGCAGCTTTTAGATCATCTTTTGATCAACTTGATACGTAGAAGTTTAGAAAGTAATGCTGATGAAAAACAAACAAATTGCATGTACCCAACATGTGCACAGGCCATCACCGACTCATTCAAAGGTCCATCGCCTTCATGTTGAATCATAATCCGGACTGAATTTTAGGATCAAGTCGGGCCGAGTTGTAAGCATAATTAGAAGATTATAAGGCACTTAGTTTTACAAAACCAAAGGAGGAGACACAATTAGCATGGAATAAAATTGATAGCAGGTCTCAACAAATATTAGAGTCTAACATCAATTCAATAATTATTAAATTAGATTAATAAATTAAATTTAAATAGTATTATTAAGGATAAATCCAAATGCTCATATTATCCACCTAAAAAAATGTTTTTAGGTGGACAATTTAACACGTTTTATTTTAATCGATAAAAATAAGATTAAAATATCTGAATTTAACGAATTAAAATATCTGAAGGTACCAACAAAAAAAAAACCCACAAATTCTAGGGTCCGGTATTATAAAATTTTCAGATCATGTTTGTAGTGCACGGTCACCTTTCTGCATACAATGTAATGAAAAAAGAAAAGATGTCAGAAGTGGGATTTGAACCCACGCTCTCTCACGAGAACCAGAACTTGAGTCTGGCGCCTTAGACCACTCGGCCATCCTGACTCCTTTAATGAGGGGGCCTCCAATTTTATTATATAGAACAACTAGAACACTCAAAAGTAGTGAGCTTCTAGTGTGTTACGGGCTCAAGGTAAAATATTACAGTATATCACAGTAAAGATGGAAATAAAATGTGAGTCCCACTCCAAGTGCATTCCACGGCAGCATGGACATAGTGAGGTGGACCTGAATCAGAATGTTCCCTTGAAAGCTTTAAAAAAAGCAAGAAAATAGGCCCTTACTTTACTTTTTAAGGAGTGTAATGTAAGTGTAACCCCCTCGTGCAGGTACCATCAGTGACAGTGAGGCTCAAGCCCAATGGAAGGTTTCTTCTACAGAGATCAGAGTTTGGAGCTAGCGTTTGGCTGACAAAGAAAAATATATTTGAATGGGCACTCAGGCTTTGATATTTCAGATTACAAGCCACATTGTGGGCTTTGACATGTCATTATGCAAATCCTTAAGCACGATCATATAAGCATACATTTTTGTAGTCTACATGACGCAGCAGCAATGGTTTTAGGATAAAAATTTTAATAATATTTTGTCGCGGTTGCAGTGAATCGAGATCTTTCTCAACAAATTTCCTTATTAAGTTATTTTTTGTGTTTTAGTTCTCAACTCAACAAAACTTTTATTCTATGCTGGTTGTTGTTTGCATTGCATACACCATTCAAATGAAAAAACCAGTTCAGATCGAAGACAAGTGCATCGAAAGCCCCTCTCTTTCCTCCCAAATACACACATAATAATCTAAAGCAATTGTGTTGGGAGCCTTTTTTTTAAATATATTATGTATTTGTATTTATTTATTGTCTGGGTTTGCGCCTATTCGGTATTCACATTTATTTTAGTATGCGTATGCACATATGTAACTGCATGTATTTATATAGAATAATGCTACACTGACTAAATTTTTAGATCAAATGACATGACAGTTGATTATTTGAAGTTTTTATTGGGGCCGAAATGACATGACACCAATTAAATAAGTTCAAGTCAACTGTCATGTCATTTGAGCTTCAAATTTGGTCAGTCTAGCATTACTGATTTATATAATAATAGGGTTAATAGTATTTTTAGTTCCAAAAGTATGTCATTTTTGTCCATTTAGTTTCTCAAATACCAATTTTATCAGTTTGATCCCTAGAATTTCAATTCATGTTATTTTAATCCCTAATCAAACAATTTGTTAAGTTTTTTTGACGAAAGTGACCACGTGTTATTTTTTAAACGGTATCATGTGTCAATCACGTGATTATTCTGTCAAAAATTTAATGATTTTTTTATGTAGAGATTATTTAAACACGAATTGAATACTTTAGGAATCAAATTAATATTTTATGACCAAATTGACAAAATATGCATACTTTAGAGGCTAAAAATACTATTAGGCTTAAATAATAACTAAATCAGTCTGTTTCTTTAGCAAATTCATTTTTGACTAAATAAATTCATTGAAAAACAAGGTCTTCAAGCGGTAGAAAAGCTTTTGAGTGGCTACCCATTTAAGTAACATATCTGGCAGAATATAGATGTCATTGCTACTAAGTTTTTTGGCCAAACGATTCATTAATTAGCCTTAAAGATCTTCCCATTTCTAAGCCAACTTGGCTACGTGATTCTGATGATCAACCAAGTTCATCTAATTGTATTGTACCTATTGGGAATCCAATTCCATATGAGAAAGTCGTGGACGCCATAGAAAATGAAGGTGCGCCACATCAGTTAGTTTTTCTTAACAAGTTACTTTGGTGGAAATGGAATCATTTGATGCAGACCTCTTTGCTTTACAACTAAAAATCTTTGGCGAAACAGATCAGAAACTTGTCTGAGAGAAGAGCTCAATCGTTATTGGATTAGTTTCTTTGTACTTGCTTGATTTAGTTTGGGAATTTTAATGCACAGATCAGAATATCATTACAAAAATATTAATGCTCCTTGTAGTTTCCTATCAATGGCAATGGCTAATTAAGGAACGACGGCTTTCGCTGAGAGTTCAAATGATCTTCTATCCAAATGCTCAAATCCTATTTACAACCGTCTCTTATGATGGTGGTCGTCAAATCTCTCTTCTTGCAAGAAAGAGGTTTTAGATTTAATATTTTTTATATTCTTTAAAGGCAAACAATCCTTGTTCTTTAAGGGATATGTCGTTAAACTAATTTGAATTACGGTGATCAGATTAGAATTTGAGAGAATATTCGGCGTAAATCTGAACACTCTATGATCAAAAATAAAATAAAATTACAATCATGTTCACTGTTCTCAACAAAAAAAACTTCTATATATGATGAGTGCTGAATTTTAATTAAGCTAATTCCGGCACATTTTAATAAAATGCAATTTGAATATGCTTGTTATAGCAGAAACAATTGTAAATCGACAACATTATGTGCAAAAAAAATACGATGTCGGTGCAGTCCTCCTAAAGAATCCGTTAAATCCATTGATTTACATTAAAAAAAAAAGTGTCCCCAATAGCACAAACCGATCAGAAATGATTTCATCCATTTGATTATGACAAATTGGTCTGTGTTGTGTTGGGAAATCATTAGAAGATTGGGTGGGGGTGGGGGTGGGGGATTTTGGTTGTTTGCTTGGTTCTTACATTTGGTAGAGGAGTTGAGATCTTCCAAAGTTATTTTGTGCTGATCAAAGTGAAGATAGAAAACAACTTTGCTTAAAGTTAGGGCATCCATAACACGGGTCATTTCTAAGTTAGGCCGTAGATGACATGTTTTTGGATTTTACATGATAATTTTTTGTTTGATTAACACACCACTTGATAGTATCAGGTGATATATAAAATTAATTATAAGTCGTTCATTTCTAAAAAAAGCATTCATTTAACATGTTATTAAATATTTTTTGAAAAAAAAAATAGAAAATAACTTGTATGTCTAAGTAATTTTTTATTGGGTGTGCACACCACATGACCCTAAACCCGCTCTAACTTTTTTTTATTACCCAACAGTAGATTTTGTTCTTCTTCCACATAAAATACCTCTATATATACATGTCCATAGTGGCTAAGTGCTAACACAGCTTTCTCTCTCATCAGATTCCCTCGTTTTCATCCTTGTTTTCCAGACAATTTATACTACAGATTTAGCAAGTTTATGGGTATTGGAACCCAACCAAATCCCATTTTTCTTGACTCAAAGCCAGCTATCATCCCCAAAAAACTTTTATCTGTTACACTTAATTTCTACTCTTCTCTGAACCAGTCACGTTCAATCCTTCATATTATTGTTCATAACTTCATATTTTAGAACCTCATTTCTTGTCCACATGGAACCGCTCTCTTCAAGTTCTTCCTCTCTGTATATGACCAGCCTCATTTTGCTTGTGATTTGCAGAGGTAAACTTCAATGTTTCCAGCTTTGCCATTTGGGTTTTGTGTGTTTATGCGGATCTGTATTCTGTATGTGTGTATATAGGTGTTATATATCTCTGTATGTGTGTCTATACATAAAAATTCAGGTGTTAATTAAAAAACTTTATATATGAAGATGAATGAAGCCCTCGAGTACTTTATTTTAATGGCGGCTTATATTTTCTCAGGCACTTCAGGGGCTACATTTACGTTAATAAACCGGTGTGACTACTTAGTGTGGCCCGGAATTCTAGCCAATGCAGGTAGCACCAAGTTGGATAGTACCGGGTTTGAACTCCCACCGGGTGGGTCTAAGTCCTTCCAAGCTCCATCAGGCTGGTCAGGGCGGTTCTGGGGCAGAACTGGTTGTTCTTTCGACATGAATACGGGGCAAGGAAGCTGCGCCACCGCTGATTGTGGCTCCAACCAGTTAGAGTGCAATGGTGCCGGAGCCACCCCACCGGCAACTTTAGCCGAATTCACAATCGGGTCGGGTACCGACTCCCATAACCAGGACTTCTATGATGTCAGCCTGGTTGATGGGTACAACTTGCCAATGATTGTTGAAGCAAATGGTGGGTCGGGTATGTGCGCGTCAACAGGGTGTGTGACCGACTTGAACCGGATGTGCCCGTCAGAGTTACGGGTTGGTGATGGCCAGGCATGCAAGAGTGCATGTGAAGCGTTTGGAAGTCCAGAATACTGTTGCAGCGGCGCATATGGTTCACCCGCCACCTGTAAGCCGTCCGTTTACTCGGAAGTGTTTAAATCGGCATGTCCGAGATCATATAGCTATGCCTACGATGATGCCACAAGTACCTTTACGTGTACTGGGGCTGATTATACGATTACATTCTGCCCTTCATTACCAAGGTAAGGATGATACAATCATCCATTAATCTTACTGTTATAATGGACAATGTTTTTTGGATTGACCAGGAAATGAGAGAGAATTGTTGTTTTTGCATCTTCTCCATCTCCTCTTATTTGACTGTATTTTTTATTTTCAAGTGAATTTGTTTCTTGCTGTAACAATATATCTTTATTGACTTGTCTTTGTTTTCAACTTCTTTTCTTGCAGCCAGAAATCTTCAAGAGATTCTCCAATGTCAATGACAACAGGAACAACAGATGGGTCAGGATCCGGATCACAACAAGAGAACCCAACGTCACTCACCTCATGGTTACCCAGCTTTGTCACCGGAGACTCATCGACGATCACTTCACATTTTGCCATGCAATTCACACTGATTGCTTCTCTAATCCTCTTTTATACCCTCTCGTTTCTTCATTTCTAGTCACCTTCTCTCCGGAAAAGCACGTGCCTCAGCTTTTGGTGACTTGACGCTCACTTCACGGGGAAGGGTGGTACTGGTAGCCACGGCCAGATTGTATAGCACAATTTTCCGTGCCAGATGTATATATTAGTTATTTTTGGTTGGAAGCATAACACATTGCTTGTATTATTGATTTCACATTTTCTTTTTAAGTTTTCAAAGATTGGTAAGAATCAGAAGAGCTGGCTTTTCGATATCTCAGTGTTATTTTATTGTAAGTAATTTAGCAGAATCAGAGAAAGCTGCACTTGCTTTATGATGAATCTGTGCATAAATCAACTACTAAGCTTAGCTACTTTACTGGAATTACAAGCTTGGAAGTTGCGTTATTTTCGCTGCAACGCATGGAATTATGGTGTCTCCCACAAAAAGCCATGCAACCATTGTTTATGGAGTAATGCTACGCTGACTAAATTTTGAATCTAAATAATATGACAACATATTATTTGGAGTTTTTATTGGAGTTCACATGACATGACACCAAATAAAAAAGTCAAAGTCAGCTGCTACGTCATTTGAGCTCTAAATTTGATCCCAAAATTTGGTCAGTGCAGTATTACTATTGTTTATATATGGTGTGATCTTTATTGCTTCAGATTGGTTCTTATTCGCTTTTTTTTTTCCTTGTTAAAAAAGGACGGGGTAAAAGAAAGCGTTTTTAGACCACTCTGATAGATATTCATTGATGGGATCATAGGGTCCTTGATTCCGTCCATTACTTCTTTTGAAAACGAACTTAGCTACGTTATCATAACAGTCAACAACAGAAATTTGACATGAATTTCAAGAACCTCCAAGCTCAGAATGAAAAATTCGGTTAATACCCTATTGGACCAACTAACTCGGTGGTTGTATGGCTCCAAACAAGATCAAAAGAAAGCAATCAAGCAAATCTTCATTCCTTAAACATTACTCAATATCTGCCAAACTGTCACGGTTAATTGATTGCCTATTGTTCTTTGATCGACAATGGTGACAATCCCATGATTAAAGTCCTACATAACCAGTAGGTGCATATTTCTTTACAAAAATTGATACGGGTAAAAGATATTCGCTCAACGATAACCTTATTCAAATTAGTTATACACAACATGAACGGCAGACAAAGAAACTCCGCCGAAACCAACGAATCAGGGACAAATATAATTAGTAACTGTCACTTGATTAGCGTCTGCATACGACTACAAACAAACAAACAGTTGATGATTACACTTTGTCAGTTTTAATTAGGGTAAAAATTATAATCTGTTCTTGAATTTTGTTTTTAATTTTAATTTAGTCCATGAACTTATAATTGTTCTAATTTAATCCCTTAATTATTAATTTTGTCTAATTAAGTCCTTCCATCCATTTTTGTCATTAGATTAACGTTGAAATTCATTAGATTTAATTAGTCTCTAGTTGATATAACAGTGAAAATTGATGTAAGGACTTAATTGAGTTGAAATTGATAGTTGAGAGACTAAATTAAAATATTTGAAAGTTCAGGGACTAAATTAAAATTGAAGACAAAATTCAAGGACCAACTGTAATTTTTACCCTTTTAATTATGATTAATAAAAACTATTGTGAACGTCGGATAGTTGAACATTATTTTTGTGGCTCTTGCTCCTTTAGAGGTTGGCAATATATACATTAATCTTGAAAACAGCAAAAACTATGCATGTTGATTGGCAAAAAGTATGGTCGTTTGTTAGTTTTAGTGGCTTTCTGAGGTGTGTGATTGACAAAACCTGTCTAGGGGTCACATGCCATGCATTAGTAACTAACTAACAAACCTACTTTACCTATATGCTAATTGTCTGGATATGAAGAAAGTAAGGAGAAAGCAATTCAATCAGGAGGAGGTTTCTATTTTACGGGATGTTCATTTTCATCAGACAAAAGTAGGCAAGACTAGATACGAAAGAAAGAGCTACCACAAGCACATGCACATGCACATGAACATGGTATGTCAGGTTCTTTTGCTTCGGCGTCCAACTCAGAATTCGGGTTTTATTGCTTATATAAAATTTAAAGTTAACTAATAAATATGATTTATGACTAATTAAGTCCATTCAAAATTTTGATTGAAGTCATGAGTTGAAAGAACATGTACTTGGGATGACTCATGCCACCAGTTGCAAAGAAAGGCAAACAAAAAAAGTATACGCGGATCCTTACAACCCCAACTAAGAAATATGGCAATCCAGTGAGTAATAGTACAATTATAATTGAAAAGCAGGCAATAATCTCCTCCATTTCTTCATAAATTAAGTTTCCTTTATCCTTAAGAGAATCAAATCTTCTTCCTTTAGCGTCCCCTGCAAGACCCCTTGGGTACGTGGTGCTTTATTTATTCATGGGCTGCTGCAATCAAAAGCCTGATATGTGCGGTGGTTGAGCCAAAACTAAATTAACGAATCTTCTATTTCGTCAAAAGTTTCAATCCTCTTTTCTAAGTTAATTACTAAAACATGATGTTTTTGAATAAAGGTCAGTTAATGAAAGTAGGCAATGAAGGTGTTTAAGCAGCTAAGGTGGTTGCCTGGACAGAGGTCTCAATTTCTCCATCACTGCTTTTCCCCTTTTCATTATAAAAGCCATAATGCCAATCAATCAATAAAATTTCCTAAAAAACCCTTCTTGGACTTGGCCCTTTTGGCCTTTCATTGTACTGCATAAGATTTCCCACTCCTGCCAAAAATGCTCCCAAAAGCCTACACCTTAGTTTTTAACAGCATGCAGCTGCGTTTCAAATCAGGACACTTCAAGTCCAGTAACCGAATCATTTGGATTCCTGGATATTCCAAGTATCCAACAAAGGCCAGCCGTGCCTCCAAAATCCAAATAATATTCAAGAATGAATGATAAAACGCAGAAAAAAAAACAGTACAGTGCATTGCTTTAAGAACACATGAAGCATGTCCATACAACTTCTACCATACAAAACGAAAGAAACAAAATCCCTCGTGGTTATGTTTTACTGCAATCTATGAATTGAAACTCTCCCTTCCATAGATTGTCACAAGTAAGCCCTAATGCATTATGCAACGTCTGCAAGGTTTTTAATTTTAAATTTTTTTTTTTTGAACAGAGTCTATGAGGTTCACTTGGGACAGATACTATAGGAGAATCAACCCCTCCGATTACAGGCCATCCACTCATTCGGGCAACCTATAACTCATCCTTGACAGCAGTAGGCTCTGTGTCTGCATCATCTTGAGTAGTATAATCCTCTGCCTCAGGAATAGATTCTGCTTCTTTCGTGCTGGATTCAGTCTCAACTTCTTCAGTATCATCTTCCTCCTCAACTGCAGCTTCGGGACTGATGCTTAGACTCGTCTTCACCGAGCTGTATATCCGGGAAGCAAAATCCTTGGGGTCAGGGAGCATGAAGCCACTCTCCATCAATGCTGTTTGGTACATGAGTTGTGCCGTTTGCTTTACACCCTCATCCTGAAAAGGAAGCAAACCACCATATCAATAAAGCTGGGGAAACTGCACAGAGAATGGAAGTCAGAAATAGCAACGAGAGGTAAGTCTACCAAAACCAATTTCTGACCACCAAAATACTGCAATAGGGTATCAAACCTAACTGCAATTTGACGGTGTGCATCTAATTCCAAGTAAAGCATGAATGACCAGTCCACTGCATATCAAATCAATTTTAAAAATATACCTCAGGGTCCTTTACTACTCTTTCCCGAAGCTCCTTGATAATTGGATGCCTTGGGTTGATCTCAAGCACCCTCTTGCCACGCATGTATGCCTGCTTGCTAGCATCTGATAGTGTCTGCGACTGCATGATTCTCTCCATATTTGCACTCCAGCCAAACTTAGATGTCACAACTACACAAGGAGTGTCAGCCAGACGGTTGCTTATCTTCACATCATCCACATTCTCACTGGCAAGTGCACCTTTCCACCATTTGGTCAAGTCCTTGTATGATTCCTTCAGTTCTTTGTCTTTAGAATCCTTCCCAAGTTTCAAACCCTCCTTGGAGACATTTTGGAACTTCTTATCTTCATAATCCATCAGGTATTGCATCAGGTATTCATCCACAGGATCAGTGAAGAATACAACCTGCAACAGTTTATTCAACAACCGTACTTAGAATGACAATTAGAAATATAGGAAAACAATACTCATCAAGAAAACAATCCAAAATGTGGGGCAGATCTTGGAAGACAAGTCACCAAAATGAAGCTGCCAAGCAAAGTAACTTCAGAAAGCCAACACACCTCATAATTTTTCTTTGAAAGCCTCTCGAGGAATGGAGATTTCTCCAACTGTTCCTTGCTGGTTCCTGTTATATAGAAAATATCCTTCTGACCTGGTTTCATTCGTGAGATGTACTGATCTAGTGATGTTAATTTCCCCTCTGATTTTGTGCTGTTAAGAGGAACACATACAGCTAAGGCATACATGAAGGAGGTTGCAATATGGACAGGCAAATAGGGAAAAACTTAAGCCTATCTGGAACAAGTCGAATACCTCTCGAATCTGAGTAGTTTTGCCAAGCGGTTTCTGTTAGTTGCATCCTCTACAATACCAAGTTTTATTGATTTGCCAAATTCGTTCCAGAACTTTGTATATTGGCCTTTCTTCTCATCATTGTCAACAGATTCATCAACATCTGAACATGGTGGGAACACAAAGTTAGACATGTTCTGTTTAGTAGGAGAACAAATTAATACTTTTACTTATCAAGAAAACTAGAAGACAACAAACAATATGAAACATAAGAAGACAACATTGTAATCTATCATTATGCACGCTCCCTCATGACAGTGCAGTAACAGGAAGGATCAGTGAGTAAAGACCAAAAAAGTGTCAGTTAACACCTTTTTGGATAAGTTACAAACGACTAAAAGAAGAATTTCCTATTTCTAATTCTAAAACAAGCATCTAATATTAATGATGCAATCATAGTTATCAAATCGTGTATCGGAAGGCGTGTCATTTTTTAAAAATAGTATATCGTATCGTGTATCGTAAGATACGGTGCAATTTTAAGTAAATAATAAAAAAATATATATACCTTTGAAAAAAATCATACACTCATAAAAATATAGGATTTCATTCATACTTCACCACCTATTCAAGTCATCAACATAATTCGCTAATATTATAATGCAAAGTTTACAACCATAGTTCACTAATTCAAACTTCAAACCCCAAAGAGACTTTTAATCCAAATTTCTAACATCCATTTTGAACTCAATCCATAAAATTAATCAAGATTCAGAAATTTTTATACAAAAAAAAAAATTAGTGTCTTATTTAGACAAAACGACGTCGTTTCAGAAAAAAAAAAACAGGTTTAATGCGTATTGGTCGTATCATAAAAACGTATCGTGTATCGGACGATACGGTGCAAAAACGATACATAACTACGATCCGTATCGTTTTACCTCCGTATCATACGATACTAACAACTATGGATGCAATACCTTTCTTGTCGTTGTTATAAGATTCATCAGGATCCTCATCAGCAATCTTGCGGATCATATCAAGGGCCTTCCGGATGAGTTTCTTCTTTATCGTTTTCAAGCTGCTGTGTTGCTGAAGCATTTCTCGTGACACATTTAGAGGTAAGGTGTCGGAATCAACAAGACCCTAATAAACAAAAACTGACAATTAGAAACTAAGCCCAAAAAGCTCATCTGTATAACACTAAACAACGGGAATGCAACAGTGACTTTACAAAAATGGTTACCTTCAAGAAGTTGAGATACTTTGGCAAAAGCTCATCAAATTCATCCGAAATGAACACTCGTCTGACATACAACTTCAAGTTGGATTTTTTATTGTTATAGTAGCTCTCATACAAATCCTGAGGAGCCTTAGGAGGCACAAACAGTACAGCCTTAAACTCCACGTCACCTTCTGCACTAAAGTGACTCCATGATAGAGGCTTCTCATCACCGAAGTCCTGTTGAATGAAAGGAGAAAATGCAAACGATGAAGAGAACATTCTCCAAGCATTTGTACATGTTCTTCAGGCACAAGATCTGGCCTACCTTGGATAGTGACTGATAGAATTTGGTGTACTCTTCGTCAGTCACTTCCTTTGGATTCCGCAACCATATAGCTTTCACATCATTCAAAAGCTCCCATTCATAAGTTGTTTCCTTCACTTTCTTGGTCTTGGGTTTTTCCTCATCTTCTCCTTTCTCAGCATCTTCATCTTCCCCTTCTTCCTTAGAGGAGCTGCTTTCAGCTGTTTGCAACATCAGAGATGAACAGAGGAAAACAACAAGATGATAAGAAATATGGAAACCTTAACAAGCATGTTATATGGTGCTTTACAAAATGCTTTTAGAGAGTTAAGCAGATGGATTATGCATACAAGTTTCATCTTCATCACTTGACTCATCCTCATCAGCAGGAACCTCCACATCAACCTCTTTGCTGGCCCAGAGATTTATGGGGAAGTTGATGAATTCCGAATATTTCTTCACCAATTCCTGCAATTATGTACATCAATTGTATTAAATTCAAAGGATTTCAAAAAGAACTGCTTGTGGAAGCAAGACAAACTCTCACAGTAGGTAGTGATAATAAAAGGCCACTAGTACTCCTGCAAGCTGTTAATTCAACATAAACTCCTTATTTTTTTCCTTCATATTTTGGAAATTGAACCAATAAGAACTCTAGTTAAGGACTCGTATAAAAACACTAAACCTGTCAATATGGGCCTGCCATGACTAAAAAATAAAAATACCAGAAAAAAACTTCATAACAACTCAAAAACAAGATCATCCACAAAACTACCACACCATTAGTTTATCATCATTGAACAGAGATGTGGATTGTCACGCCCTTAAGTAATTTAATAGTCATAACATGATGCTTAGGAGACAGTGGCAAAATCCAAAATGTTGAGACTTTGAATACAAGAGGAAAGTTAATTGCCTTTATAGACATTCTTCAGGCCTTTCTACTATGCAATATCATTTTTTTTTGGCAGACAACTAACAAATGTATACTCCAAGAGACAACAGTACAGTTGAACATCCAGTGCAATGTCCCCTCTCAATGTGGTAGTGGGACCCACCTAATGCGCAAGTGGGACCAGGTTCCTCTCTGACTGAGAGGGGAGCCAGGCAGTGGAATGTCCCTTTTCCTTGCCTCCTCTGGCAAGGGACATGCCAAGGAATCCACCACATATGACACAAAACGGGCACCACGAGCTATTATTGACAAAATAATTCAACAATATGTACCATTTCTCATGGAAAAACTGGACATGAAGATTCAGAGTGAGGACAAAGGCCACTAAACTTCCAATAGGTGGTTTATAAGAGAAGGCAAAGTCATATCTGTGCCAGCTGAATTTGGTGCATGCCCACAAAAGGGAAAATGGACAGACTACTGAGTCATGCCTATAACTAATCCTTGGCAGGTGATAAATAAAAAATAAGTGATGCCAAGGTAATGCAATGTGGATTGGTAAGGTGGCAACAAGTCACTTTTCTGCTGCTATGAGGGTGTTGGAATTGTGTCTATGGTGAATCGTGATGGTGGAGATGAAGGCCATGGCAAGGTGTGCAATCTCAATAAGAACTATATTGTATAATCATGGCACACCTTCTAATAGCAGTATGCTTGGGAGGAAATTGGTTCTAGCATATTTTAATTTCTTCGCAGCTTTATATAAATGCAGAACTCGAAAACACAACCAGAAAAATATGAACATAACCATGACATGAAATTAAGGTTCCTTCACTGGCCACCAAAAGCAACTATGAGACAAGCTATTCTAATCAACATTCATAACTGTCATACATAGGCAATGTAAAGAAGAAATACAGCAATAAATAAATCATCATGAAATAGTAAATTGCAAATTTATCTAGCTTACCCACCTTTAATTTATTTTCTTCCAAGTATTCGCCGGCTTCATCCCTAAGGTGCAATCTGATTTCCGTTCCACGACCAAGTGGCTCATTCCACACATCCTCAGAAACTGCAAATGCTCCATCAGCCTTTGACTCCCACACATACCTGAAAGCCAGTGAAAAAGAACAAAGGTTTAGAGAATAGACTTTCCACCACAAATATGACAAAAAAGAGGGCAAAATTCATTGAAACACGAGGCTCCAGATGTCATACTGTTTGTCATCGTTATGTTTGCTAATGACTTCTACATAATCGGCAGCAAGATAGACTGAGTAGAACCCGACACCAAATTGCCCAATGAGATTGAGGTCTCCACCTGTCTGCATTTTCTCCAGAAAAGCTGTATAGAAGATTAAATTCAACTAATGACAATCATTCCTTACTTTCAATTTCAGCAAAAACTCAAGCCATGTTTGTAACTGAAATAATTTCGGATTTCATAAAAGCAAGATACCTGAAGTTCCCGACTTAGCTATGGTCCCCAAGTTCTTTATCAAATCCTCCTTTGTCATACCAATACCTCTATCACGAATTGACAGAATTTTCTTTTCTTTGTCTATTTTAATCTGCATTTTGTAATATATATAATTTAGAAAGTTCCAAATTTCAGAATTGCTCGAGACTACAAACATCATGCAAAGTCTACAATTTCTAACCTGGATCTCAAGGTTGGTGTTATCACCTTCACCCAACACCTCCTTGTCCGTGAGTGAGAGGAACCTAATCTTGTCCAGTGCCTGGAATTAAATCAATTGTATCATTAGAACAAATCTTTTATAAATGACATCCCAAATTTGCCTAAAGACAGAGATGTGCTTACGTCAGAAGCATTGGAGATCAGCTCCCTCAAGAAAATATCCTTGTTGCTGTAAAGAGAGTTGATAAGGATGTCCATAAGCCGAGACACCTCAGCCTGAAACTCGAACTTCTCCGCATTTGCGCGGAGATTTTTCTTGGACATCGACTCAGCTTCTCTGAATAAAAAAATAAGACACTCTTCAGAATACCCTACCGCTCAAGGAAAAGGATGAGAATGAACGAATCAAACAATACGCAGTTGGCGTACCTTTTAGCAACATCAGAATCGGTGGATAAACCATTTGGAACAGCACCGATCTTTTCTTCAACCTTTGGTGGATCTACTGGTGCTTCAGAATCACCCTCTGCATTTGCGTGTGACTTCCGACCTAAAGAACAGAAGATCACAACAACGCAAATTCACCGAATCCATTCGCTATTAGCAAATCAACAAATCCTAAAACCTTACTAAATCAAACGCAAGAATCGTGGACAGTTACAAAAGGAAGAAATTATCCTCGCGAGATACTCGATCCACTAAAGTATCAAGTCAAGATCTATAATTTGTAATTATACAGAAAAAACCTCAAAATTTATCCTTTCCAATCTACTATTTGTGAGTATGAAAACTCGAAGATGTATTAATGGCGGACATTAAACTCCAACCAGCCAACGTACCTTGATCTGGAAGGAGAAAGAGAAGGCATAAGAGAAACAGAACGGAAGGGACCGTCCACTTCCTCATCGTTCTCAACAATTTCTTTGTCGCTTCAACCCTGCGAGTCGCCTGATGGATAAATCTCAAGCTCTCTTCAGCGAGAGTGATTATATAGTGAAGTTAGAAGAGTGGAGAGACCTGCGATCTCACGTGTCCTCCACTGCGACGAGTTACGACTTTATGATTGGTCTGGTGTGGACAGCGTGGATGATCAGACAGTTCAGATTGATCGTTTCCACGTGGCGGTACATTATTGGTTTCACCTAGCCTCATTAGACGTGGAGAAACAAGGGTTTCTGGAAGATTCTGAAGGGAAGACTTGGAAGACCGAGCTCATCTTAGACGTTGTAGGTTCCTTAGATTAATATTGCAGACCACTAATGGGGAACAGTTTTGGTTGGGCCAGATTGATCTCTGAGTCCAATAGTTTCCCCAAACATGAATGTTTAGTCATCTGGGGGCCTTTGTGTTTGGGCTTAAGCCCTTCTCTCCCGCTCTCTCTCTTTTGGGCTTGGCCCTTGTTTATTAATATTCACAATATTAATGTACGGTACAGCTTAACTGAAAATTACTAAATGCGATATTGGATCTTATAAACTTAATAATTATTTAACTATGTAATTTAATAACTATTTCGAGTAAAAAAATGAGATTCAAAAGTTTCATAATTGGTTCCGGTTGAAAAGGCCTGCTAGACCCAGCCATATTGGACAAAGGTCTCATAATCAGTCAATCTCAATTACAAGTTCACTAATACATTGGATTTGATTTGGACTCTTAGAATATTGATCTAAATTGAGTAAATTCAGATTAATTAATTTTTCAAAAAATTTTACTTTTATAGTCAATGTTATAATCTATTAAAAATTAAAATAAATCCAAAAAATGTATCCAATCCAAATAATTCATCTTAGTATATTTCATCAAATAGTGACTAAATTGCATCATTTTTTTCTAATATTATAGTTAAAAAGTTCAATTCTCAATTTAAAAAAACAAAATAACAATCAATATTGATCTACTTTGATACAATAGTAAAAAATTTATTCCAAATTTATTTTTCCGTTCAAAAAATTATTTCTTTGCACAATACTCAACGTCAAACAACTCCACTAACTTGTACCTACCTCTCCCTTTTTCTCTCCTATCGCTCTCTTATTTTCTCAATTTAATAAAAAATAAATAAACAATTATTTAATGTAAAATATTACACAACAAATCTTTATTTTTTTTTCTTATAAAATATTTTTAGACACAAGATTATTACTAATATTTATATATGTGAACTATTCAGATCAAACTTATATCAGATTGAATATTAGCATCTATTCTAAATCCACAAAGTGTAATGTAGCAAAATAGGATTAGATTATCATAATGAAAAAGAATTCATAGTTGAATAATCTAATTTAAATATTGATCAAAGTTTAACTCATTGAAAAAAAAATTTAATAGGGCTACTAATCTATATCTATCTATACTTCTAAAAAAAGTCCCTTAATAAGAAAAAAAAAACTTTTATTTTTCTATTTTAGTCCCAATTAATCATTTAAAGTTAATTTTATCATATTTATGTGTACTTAATACTCCCTTTATGAATGTCAAACTATTCCCACTTCTAATGATTTGATTTGGTGATTCTTCCATCTCCCAATTCACACTTCTCAATCAATACCAGTAAATGCACTTGCATTTGGTACTTGGTAGTCCTTTCCTCTCCTGCTTAGCTTCTAATTCATTATGATGAAAATAAATGCTCTGACAGACTTCATCACAAATATTTGCCTCTTTCTAAGTTGGGATGAGAACTGCTAGTGAAACGGAGTCGAAGTTTTGGTCGAGTTTTATCTAAGTTGGACCAAGGGCCTACATGGCTGCTAATCACCGTCACCGCCCATGTTGGAAAGTGGACTAAATCTTCACCTTTGATTGTGCAAGTACCTTTGTTGTTCTAAGTAGAAGTACATCTTTCAGCTCCACTTTCACTTGCCATTGGATATCATGAAACCGTCTCGACCTCTAAAGGAGTTACGGAATTGTGGACAGACCTACTTTAATTTTGTAAATTCCTGGATTAAGCCCTTTCATTATACTGCATAAGATTTCCCAAGCCTATACCTCAGTTTTCACCAGCAGGCAGATGGGTTTCGAATCAGAACAGGGATTCCTGGAGAGCAGAATATTCCAAGTATCCAACACATAAGCCAGAAAAACAGCCAAGCCGTGCCTCCCAATAATATTCGAGAAAGAAAAATTGCAGTACAGTGCTTTGCTTTAAAAACACACGAAGCATGTCCATACAACTTCTACCATATAAAACGAAAGAAACAAAATTCCTGGTAGTTATGTTTACTGTAATCTATAAATTAAAACTCTCCCTTTCCTAAATTGTCACAAGGAAGGCCTAATGCATTATGCAACATCTGCGAGGTTTTTTTTTTTTTTTTTATCAGTGTCTATGAGGTTTGCTTGGGACAGACACCACAGGAAAATCATCCCCTCCAATTGCAGGCCATCCATGCTCAGGCAACCTACAACTCATCCTTGACAGCGGAAGGCTCTGTGTCTGAATCATCTTGACCAGTATAAGCCTCTGCCTCAGGAATAGATTCTGCTTCTTTCGTGCTGGATTCAGTCTCAATTTCTTCAGCATCATCTTCCTCTTCAACTGCAGCATCGGGACTGATGCTTAGACTCGTCTTCACCGAGCTGTATATCCGGGAAGCAAAATCCTTGGGGTCAGGGAGCATGAAGCCACTCTCCATCAATGCTGTTTGGTACATGAGTTGTGCCGTTTGCTTTACACCCTCATCCTGAAAAGGAAGCAAACCACATATCAATCAAGCACAGGGAAACTGCACAGAGAATGGAAGTCAGAAATAGCAATGCGAGGTAAGTTTACCAAAACCAATTTCTGACCACCAAAATACTGCAATAGGGTATCAACCTAACAGCAATTTGATGGTATGCATCTAATTCCAAGTAAAGCATGAATGACTAGTTCACTGCATGTCAAATCGATTTTAAAAATATACCTCAGGGTCCTTTACTACTCTCTCCTGCAGCTCCTTGATAATTGGATGCCTTGGGTTGATCTCAAGCACCCTCTTGCCACGCATGTATGCCTGCTTGCTAGCATCTGATAGTGTCTGCGACTGCATGATTCTCTCCATATTTGCGCTCCAGCCGAACTTAGATGTCACAACTACACAAGGAGTGTCAGCCAGACGGTTGCTTATCTTCACATCATCTACATTCTCACTGGCAAGTGCACCTTTCCACCATTTGGTCAACTCCTTAAATGATTCCTTCAGTTCTTTGTCTTTAGAATCCTTTCCAAGTTTCAAGCCCTCCTTGGAGACATTTTGGAACTTCTTATCTTCATAATCCATCAGGTACTGCATCAGGTATTCATCCACAGGATCAGCGAAGAATATAACCTGCAACAGTTGATTCAACAATTGTAATTTAGAATGACAAGTAGAAAGATATGAAAACATTCTCATCAAGAAAAGAAACCAAAATATGGGACAGACTTGGAAGACAAGACACCAAAACAAAAGCTGTCAAGCACAGTAACTCAGAAAGCCAACACACCTCATAATTTTTCTTTGTAAGCCTCTCGAGGAATGGAGATTTCTCCAACTGTTCCTTGCTGGTTCCTGTTATATAGAAAATATCCTTCTGACCTGGTTTCATTCGTGAGATGTACTGATCTAGTGAGGTTAATTTCCCCTCTGATTTTGTGCTGTTAAGAGGAACACATACAGCTAAATCACACATGAAGGAGGTTGACATATGGGCAGGCAAGTATGGAAAAACTTAAGCCTATGCGGAACAAGTCGAATACCTCTCAAATCTGAGAAGTTTCGCCAAGCGGTTTCTGTTAGTTGCATCCTCTATAATACCAAGTTTTACAGATTTGCCAAATTCGTTCCAGAACTTTGTGTATTGGCCTTTCTTCTCATTATTGTCAACAGATTCATCAACATCTGAACATGGTGGAAACACAAAATCAGACATGGTTTGTTGAGTTGGAGAATAAATTAATACTAGGAGACAAAAAGCAGTAAGTAACATTAGAAGACAACATTGTAATCTATCATTATGCAGTTGCCCTCATGATAGCAGAGTAACAGGAAGGATCAGGGAGTAAAGACAAAGGAGTGTCAATTAACACCTTTTCAATTGGATAAGTTGCAAGCGACTAACGAAGAATTTACTAATTCTAATTCTAAAACAAGCATCTGATATTAATGATGCAATACCTTTCTTCTCTTTGTCATAAGATTCATCAGGATCCTCATCAGCAATCTTGCGGATCATATCAAGGGCCTTCCTGATGATTTTCTTCTTTATCGTTTTCAAGCTGCTGTGCTGCTGAAGCATTTCTCGTGATACATTTAGAGGTAAGGTGTCGGAATCGACAAGACCCTGATAAACAAAAATTGAGAATTAGAAACCAAGCCCAAAGCTAATCTGTATAACACTAAATAAAGGGAATGCAACAGTGAATTTTACAAAAATAGTTACCTTCAAGAAGTTGAGATACTTTGGCAAAAGCTCATCAAATTCATCCGAAATGAACACTCGTCTGACATACAACTTCAAGTTGGATTTGTTGTTGTTATAGTAGCTCTCATACAAATCCTGAGGAGCCTTAGGAGGCACAAACAGTACAGCCTTAAACTCCACGTCACCTTCTGCACTAAAGTGACTCCATGATAGAGGCTTCTCATCACCGAAGTCCTGTTGAATGAAAGGAGAAAATGCAAACGATGAAGAGAACATTCTCCAGAGCATTTGGACATGTTCTTCAGGCACAAGATCTGGCATACCTTGGATAGTGACTGATAGAATTTGGTGTACTCGTCGTCAGTCACTTCCTTTGGATTCCGCAACCATATAGCTTTCACATCATTCAAAAGCTCCCATTCATAAGTTGTTTCCTTCACTTTCTTGGTCTTGGGTTTTTCCTCATCTTCTCCTTTCTCAGCATCTTCATCTTCCCTTTCTTCCTTAGAGGAGCTGCTTTCAGCTGTTTGCAACATCAGAGATGAACAGAGGAAAACAACAAGATGATAAGAAATATGGAGCACAAAACTTGAAACCTTAACAGCATGTCATGTGAGCATTGGTGCTTTACAAAATGCTTTTAGAGAGTTGAAGCATATGGATTGTGCATACATGTTTCATCTTCATCACTTGACTCATCTTCATCAGCAGGAACCTCCACATCCACCTCTTTGCTGGCCCAGAGATATATGGGGAAGTTGATGAATTCCGAATATTTCTTCACCAGTTCCTAAAATTATGTATATCAATTGTATTAATTCGATGGATTTCAAAAAGAACTGCTTGTGGAAGAAACACAAACTTTCACAGTAGGTAGTTATAAGGCCACTAGTACTCCTGCAAGCTGTTAATTACATACACTCCATGTTTTTTTTCATATTCTGGGAATTGAACCAATATGAACTCTAGTTAATGACTCATATAAAAACACTAAATCCAGGTCAGCAGAGGCCTGCCATGACCAAAAAAAAAATCATAATAACTCAAAAACAAGATCATCCACAGAACTACCACACCGTTAGTTTATCATCATTGAACAGAGATGTGGGTTGTCACGCCCTTGAGAAATTTGAGAGTCATAACATGATGTTGAGGAGACACGGTGGCAAAATCTAGAATGCCAAGTTAACTGCCTTTATAGACATTCTTCAGGCCTTGCTACAATGCAATAACAATTTTTTTGGCAGAAAACTACCAAATGTATACTCCAAGAGACAGCAGGACAGTGGAACATTCAGAGCAATGGCCCCTCTCATAGTCGTAGTGGGACCCACCTAATGCGCCAGTGGGACCAGGTTCCTCTGTGACTGAGAGGGGAGAGCCAGGCAACGGAATGTCCCTTTCCCTTGCCTCCTCTGGCAAGAGCCATCCCAAGGAATCCAGTAAATGCCAAGGAAAAGCAAGAAATTGGGATCATTCACATATGACACAAAACAAGCACCACCAGCTATTATTGACAAAATAAATCAACAATATGCACAACCATGTCTCATGGAAAAACTGGACATGTAGTTTCAGATTGAGGAAAAAGACCACTAAACTTCCAATGGGTGGTTGATAAGAGAAGGCAAAGTCATATCTGTGCCAGCTGAATTTGGGTTATGCTCACAAAAAGGAAAATAAACAGACTACTGGGTCATGCATATAACTAATCCTTGGCAGGTGACATGTAAACAATGAGTGATGGCAAGGTAATGCAATGTGGATTGGTAGGGTGGCAACAAACTACTTTTTCTACTGGTATGAGGGTGTTGGAATTGTGGCTATGGATAATTGTGATGGTGTAGATGCTGGCCATGGCAAGGCGTATAATAATAAGAACTACATTGAATAACATGACTTGTGTAATAACGGCTCGCCTTCCAATAAGGGCATTCCTGGGAGGAAATTGGTTCTAGCATATTTTTATCCCTTCTCAGCTATATATAAATGCAGAACTTGAATACACAAACAGAAAAATATGGGGACATAACCATGACATGAAATTAAGGTTCCTTCACTGGCCACCAAAAGCAGCTATGAGAAAGGCTATTCTAATCAATATTCATAACTTTCATACATAGGCAAGATAAAGAAGCAATACAGCAATAAATTAATCAAATAGAAAAAGTAAATTGCAAATTGCAAATGTGTCTAGCTTACCCACCTTTAATTTGTTTTCTTCCAAGTATTCGCCGGCTTCATCCCTAAGGTGCAATCTGATTTCCGTTCCACGACCAAGTGACTCATTCCACACATCCTCAGAAACTGCAAATGCTCCATCAGCCTTTGACTCCCACACATACCTGAAACCCAACGAAAAAGAACAGGTGTCGGAGAATAAACTTTCCATCACAAATGACAAAAATAGGGGGCAAAATTCATTGAAACACAAGGCTCCAGACGTCATACTGTTTGTCATCATTATGTTTGCTAATGACTTCTACATAATCGGCAGCAAGATAGACTGAGTAGAACCCGACACCGAATTGCCCAATGAGATTGAGGTCTCCACTTGTCTGTATTTTCTCCACAAAAGCTGTATAGAAGATTACGTTCAACTAATGACAATCATTCATTGCTTTCAATTACAGCAAAAACTCAAGTCATGTTTGTAACTGAAATAATTTCCACTGTCATAAAAGAAAGATACCTGAAGTTCCCGACTTAGCTATGGTCCCCAAGTTCTTTATCAAATCTTCCTTCGTCATACCAATACCTCTATCACGGATTGACAGAATTTTCTTTTCTTTGTCTAATTTAATCTGCATTGTGTAAGATATATAATTTAGAAAGTTCCAAATTTCAGAATTGCTCGAGACTACAAACATCAAGCAAAGTCTACAATTTCTAACCTGGATCTCAAGGTTGGTGTTATCACCTTCACCCAACACCTCCTTGTCCGTGAGTGAGAGGAACCTAATCTTGTCCAGTGCCTGAAATTAAATCAATTGTATCATTAGAACAAATCTTTTATAAATGACATCCCAAATTTTCCTAAAGACAGAGATGTGCTTACGTCAGAAGCATTGGAGATCAGCTCCCTCAAGAAAATATCCTTGTTGCTGTAAAGAGAGTTGATAAGGATGTCCATAAGCCGAGACACCTCAGCCTGAAACTCGAACTTCTCCGCATTTGCGCGGAGATTTTTCTTGGACATCGACTCAGCTTCTCTGAATAAAAAAATAAGACACTCTTCAGAATACCCTACCACTCAAGGAAAAGGATGAGAATGAACGAATCAAACAATACGCAGTTGGCGTACCTTTTAGCAACATCAGAATCGGTGGATAAACCATTTGGAACAGCGCCGATCTTTTCTTCAACCTTTGGTGGATCTACTGGAGCGTCAGAATCACCCTCTGCATTTGCATGCAACTTCCGACCTAAAGAACAGAAGATCACAGCAACGCAAATTCAATGACTACATAAAAACGAATCCATTCGCTATTAGCAAACAGACAAATCCACATTGAAGAGCAAATCTAGGCCTAAAACCCAACTAAATCAAACGCAAGAATCATTGACACCGAAATAATGAAGAAATTATCTTCGCGCAATGCTAGATCCACTAAAATAGGAATTCAAGATCTAGAATTTGTAATTGTACAGAAAAAAAACCTCAAAATTTCTCCTTTTCAAGCTACTATTTGTTTGTATGAAAATTCGAAGATGTAATAATGGCGGACATTAAACTCCAACGTACCTTGATCTGGAAGGAGAAAGAGAAGGCATAACAGAAACAGAACGGAAGGTACCGTCCACTTCCTCATCGTTCTTTACAATTTCTTTTGTAGCTTCTACTCTGCGAGTCGCCTAATGCATAAATCTCAACCTCCCTTCGTCGCGTGACCGATTTTATAATAGTGAAGTTAAAGAGCAAGAAGGAGAGACCTGCGATCTCACGTGTCCTGCACTGCCACGAGTTAGGACTTTATGATTGGTCCGGTATGGCCAGCGTGGCCGATCGTTTCCACGTGGTGGTACATTATTGGTTTCCCTAACCTCTTTAGACGTGGAGAAACAAGGGTTACTGTTTGGAAGATTCCGAAGGGATTAGAAGACGAATAAGAAGACCGAGGTCGTCTCAGATGTTGTAGGTTACGTGAATTATATTGCAGACCACCCATGGATTGATAGTTAATCCATGATGATTTTTTGTTGGTCCAGATTGATGTGCGAGTCCAAACTCGAATGTTTGGTCCTCTGGTGGCCTGTGGGTTCTGGCTTGGCCCTTCTCTCTCTCTCTCTTGAGAGGTTTAGTCCTTGTGTTTTTTTTTTTAAAAATTTTGAGATCAGTCCTCTTATATGGACTTGTTTGGACTTAAATCTGTCAAATAAATTTATTTGTTATAAAGTCTATTTTTTATCAATTTTACTATACTATCCATTTCCTGTAAAAGTGAAATAAAATTAAAAGTTAAAAACTCTTAAATTTTAAGAATTTTACTAACATTAAAATCTTTTCTCTCTCATATTTATCTATATTCTTATATATGTTAAGAGTTAGACCAACACATGCGTCTGTTTCACGCCTCTCCCTCTCACTTCTGCCTCTGTAAGATACGCCTCTCTCTCTTTCTTCTGCCTCTGCCTCTCTCTCCGAATATATCACGCCTCTATACCATAGAATCCATATCAAGGTTTCATTCCCTGGGCAGAGGGCTTCTACTATAGAGTGTAGACTATGGTGAATAGGAGAGGCAGTTCATCCACACCAACTGCCAAAGACAGACATCCAACCATTCTTTGTTCATCCACACCACCAACTCCGACAACACACTCTAACCCATCTCTCTAAACCTCAAATGTTTGTGGTATTGACAGCAGATATTGTATCCCTCAGCTGTATGCAGCAGCTGGAACAATCACTGTTCACGTGACTGTTCAGCTGCTGCCCTCAATTCATTCAAGTGCCCATTTGTGTCTATGTTTTATTAGCAAGAAACACTATTTTGAATCCATTTTTACCACTTGGGAAAATATAGTGGCACCCAACTATTCGATGTAAATTCTCACAATAATAAATAGGTGTATGTTTGTGTGGGGAATGTTTGCTTTGTGAAGGAAAACACAAGCTTCACCATGAGTTTGAAGTTGGTATTGCTGAATGTAGTGTTGGTGGTGTACTGGTGTGGTTATTGATTTCATTGTGTCAAACGACCATAAGGCTATCATCGTCAATGGGTATTTCTAATTTTAATTCACTTGATATTTTTAGATTAATTTTATTGTGTAGATTTTGTATTCCTGCTTATTTAAATTTGTAGCATACTCTTTAATTGTAATGTTGTCTAATATTGATTAACTTGACATTCTTAGATTTATTTTACTGGAGAAATTTTCTATTCATGTTTATATCGATAACAAATCAAATATACAAAATTCTACGAGAGTATTTTCTTTGTTCCTTCAAGTTGTATTTGTCCATGCTATTTGAAGTATGTTGTTCCTCACTTAAACTATGCACTTGATTCTATCAAGTCATGGTTAGACTTTGCAATTGATTAGGCGGACCGATTTCCAACACACTCTTCTTGGGTCTATTGGTGAATGATGTCACATGTGGTTTGAGGGTGTTGTGGTTTCGACACACCCAAGGTTTGAATTCTTTGACCCTTAGTTCATTGAACTTTGTCGTTTGGAACTTTCTTGGGTTATTGAACTTGATAATTCGTTAATTGCACTCATTCTCTATAAACCTATGGAAGTTTCCATTGAAGCCCAATAGTTCGATGAGCTCAACTTCAATGGTTGTATGCAAAGTGTTAGTTATTTCACTTCAATTAAAGAAAAACCTTTATTACTGTTTTGATTTGTTTATAAAAATGCCTATCTATCTTTTTTTTTTATATAAGAAGTATTGTGCTTGAGAAAATTTCAGTGGTAGAGAATTTCAAAATAACAAAACCATTCATTTTGTTGTAGAGCTAATTGTAAGAAAGGATTTGGCTTCCCTTATCTAAAGCTCATTTGTTGGTTTTTTAGTGTCTTTTTTTGTTGGCCTTGATTTGGCTGCAATTTAGTTTTTAGTGGTTTCAGACATTGATGGAGTTGATTCGAGGGTTTCATGGAGGTTTTCTGTAAGTCTATATCATGGTTCAAAGAAAGTCTTAACGAAGTAGACTCCTCTTGGGTCTTTCAGTTGGACTCCTTGCTGTAGTTGGAATTCATGTTACTGTAATTCAGATGCAGTTAATTGCCTAGCTGGACCTTTTCATTGAGCATTTACTGCTGCTGCCTAGATGCCACTGTTCACATTACTGTGCAAGCTGGAATTTTTTTGGCTGCTGCAGCTGAACTAGATTTTATGCTGCAGCTGGAATGCTCACTGTTCTAAGCTGCTACATTAATGCAGCCTTCATTATTTCTTGCAATTGGTTTTTCTTCGTGGATTACAAAGTAGCATGCTCCTTAAATCTGTCCAGTACCTTAAGGTTTACATTTTTAAGCAGGAAGCCTCTAACTGCTGCAACTGGACTCTTCATTGATATTGGACTGCTCAACTGACTCTTCATCAATATTGCAAGGAATATTGGATTGCTCAGCAGAATGGGAGATCTGCTGCCCACCAAATCTTGCCTTAATTATCAAGTGGAGGCAGCTTGAGTCATACTAAAAGTTAGGGAAGGTACAAGGAATTACATGAAATATGATCTTTGCCATGGGACCTACCATGTGAAGGAAATTTTCGTTGAAAGCAAATGGACTTTTTGGGTGAATGGATTTCAAGCATTTGAAAAGAAATGCCATGGGGCTTCTAAAGAAGATTTGGGCATCAAGAATATGATAATACATGTAATTGCACTTAAAGTAAACTCTTAAATTTCTTTTTTATGTAAAGGGCAAGGTTTATGTCCTCCCCTATTTTCTTTATAATTTTGTCATTAATAAAGTTTACCCTACATGGGTTTTACTTAATAAATAAATAAATGTGTTGTTTGATGCCAATTAAGTTATAAGTGCATATCATTACAAATAAATGTGTAGTTTTACGTCTAGATCCAAATTTTATTATGAATTATGGAAGCAACAAAATAATAGTCCTTTGGAAGGACTTCTGTCAGCTAGCTATGACTACAGATTTGGTGGAGTGCAAGAGTTTGATTGGATTATGCATGGACAATCTCGAATTTTGGGGAGTTAATAGAGGATCTTGGTCTGGAAGACGTTTTGTATCTGTTTTAGACACGATGTCTATAACGATTGTAGTGGTGAAATTTTGGAAAGAGTAATTTGGCATCGGATTGTAAAGTTTACTGGCATATATGCATTTTCTTGACTCTCCACATCCAGCTGCATTAACAAGTGACTGATTAATCATTAAAATTGTTATTTTATTATATTTAATGATTGGTTAATTACATATTATTTGTGATTAAATGTGTTGAATTTCTTGATTTTTTAGTTTGATACTTTTTCTAGTTGTTTGGTTTATTTTACAGGTAAATTGGTAGATTTAAAATAATAATGGATAATGCAAGTGAATCAATCACTAGATGAAGAATTGCAATTGATAAGGATTGAAGAGTCAAGATTGAATAGGAAGAATTGAAGATATGACAGCAATTTAATTCTTATAAGAGTCCAAGATAGAAGAAAACTCATTTAAAGTTGGATTAGGAAAGTATCCTAGAAGAATAAAGATTTGACACGTCTTCAGTATTTTGATTATAACTTTTGACTTTGATTTCCGATTTACTTGATTTTTGGGGGCTGGAAATAAGATTTCAAGGGCTAAAAAAGTGTATTTCACGAAATTTTCGTGATTCAACCTCTAAATATGCGAAATCTAAGCTCAAAATCTGGACAGATTTTGTACCTGCGCCCCAAAGATTTTATTCACAGAATTTAACCTTACAAGATTTCTTTTTGAAAAGGAATTCCTTCCAAGACAACTTTATATCTTCTACTTATACTTACAATTTATTTTTAGTATAAATAAGGGTTTTCATCTAGGATTTAGATGATTCTTTTCTCATCTTTTCTTTTTTAATTTTAGTTTGTCATGTCTGGCTAAAAGGCTAAGCGAGGGTCAGGGAGAACCTCTCAATGAAGTACGGTAATGTTATTGACTCTATGAGTTTAATGATTTATGATATTTTGTTAATTTAACTTCTGATCTTATAGCAAAGTTTTTGCTATGTAAAAATCCTTGAGTTGTTGTGCCATGTACATCGATTGCTTGAATTTTTCTGCGAGTAAATAACTGGTTATTTCATGCTTGAGGTAATTATCATTATTTCATAAAATAATATAATTGGATGATTATTCAGGTTCCTAAATAATCTTTTGATTATAACTTTTGGTTTTTTTACTTGATTTATTATTCGAATCAACCGATATTTGATTCTTGTTCCAAGTTAAGTTTTGAGTCCTTAATCATTATTGTATGTAATTGAGAGGGAGTACCTGATGCTCTAGTATTTTTATTATATTGTTTTAATTACTCCAATCAATATTTTCTCAATTCAACAATCTCTTAAATAAATTGTTCTTACAAGTTTACTTTTTATTTGTTTTATGTCTCTTATTTTTTCAATTCCTTGTGGTTCGACCTCGGACTCCCGAAAAATTTATTACTTTGCACAACCTGCACTTACGTGATCGATTCTAAAGTTGTAGTAGTGACGATATTTCTTCCTAATGGGCGAGATTCTTGGAATTTAAATAAATGAAGATGTCTATTGTACAAGAGTAATGTTATTGAGACTTAAAAAATAGATCTAATTTGTTAACTTAATAATATGATAGTGAGGTGGTCTAATAGTAT